TTCCTATCAAATCTTCCCGATTAAAAATGGCTATTTAGGCAGGATTTTTTTCTCATTTAATGGAGTAAATTATCAATAATTATCGTTTTTTAACCTCCTTTTATCAATAGCTAATGATTTTCGCCTTTTTGCATTATACTTATTTTTCTCGGTTAGGATATACCTTTTGCGAGCAAACCGCACTACTTAGATCCTGGTTCCCCTGAGTCTGCTTCGGATTCTTGCTCTGGCGATGTCGGGACTCATATTCCTGCTGTTTCTGCTAGTGGGTCCTGGCTTAATCGGCATCATGCCTCTCAATCTCCTTTATCCTCTTCTTCTTCCGTGCACAGTCTCACTGATGTCGTTCTCACCTTACCAAGGCCAATGGAAGCACCAGTGACTACCGGCAGTCTTACTGATGGAAGCAGAGATAGAGAGAAGGATAAAGAAAGAAGTGAAATTTCTTATTCAATTCAGTCCGGGCGCTCCAACCATCATCAACAGCAACACTTGCTTCCACTTCAGCATCATCAGCCATCATCGTCCCCGGGAAACCGGTTTTTCACTGGCCGCGAACGAGATCGAGACCGAGAAAAAGACAGAGATTGTCGAAGGTATTCACATTTGTCGCCATCAAGTAGGCTGAAACACGATCCAGGCACCAGCGACTTAGATGCCGACACTGAGCCAGAAACTCAGGAAACATCAGAGAATCATCAGCACCAATTACAGCAGCAGAATCGAGATTCCTTTTCTGCTCCGTGCATTGCTGTGCTGCCTAGATCTCGACGCCTACTACTAGACGAGTCAGGTCCATATCTACGGTGCAGAAAGCGAAGACGCTCTATGATTCTCAGCTCCAGTGGTGTGGATGATAATGTACGGAGAAGAGAGCACAGCAAAACAGAAAATCTAGAAGAGGAAAAGATTGCCAAAGAAGAAGTGTTACACCAAATAAAGAGAGAACATGATAGCCGTTTGGTCTCAGGAGAACATTTGAATGATCCCGATGCATTTCTCTACGCTGGCTCAAATGATGACAAGAAAGATAATGAGGATGAACATCTTAAAGATGATGATGATGATGATGCTGATGATGATGAGAATGAAGCTGACGGCGAAATCGACAATGAACAGGATGGTGATGATGATAGTGGTGCTGATGTTAGTATGCCAGTGGAGGACAGTCTTCTGTCCATTCCTGGACGCCGAGGGAAGCATCACTTTTCTCGTCTCCGTTCAGCAGATGGGACTAAGGTGATTCCTTATTTATTTTATTGTTTATCTCTAAGAGATTACAATCTTTTTTTAATCATCCGAATTGCTTACTGCTTGGTTTTGCCCTACCACTTTTACTCATTTTAATATCTCGTATTCCTATTTGTATAATTACTAATTGATATATGCATATTTCAGAGATTCCGGAGGCACCCAGGGCAGCATCATACTCTTAGTTTCAGCAACAAGACTGAGGCCCGAATTGCCAGGCAAAGATCTCAACGAGCTAATGAGGATATAAAACGAGTCAGTTTTCAAAATTGCATACCTTGATATCCTTTGAATTATCATTTTCCTGCTAATTTTTTCACATTACTCCTTAAATTTCCCACTATTTATTAAGAAATCCCGCGAGGAAAAATGGATGGCCGAAGTCCTCCGTCGCATCGAGCGAATGGAGCGGAAACAAAGGAAACAGAGGAAACCTACTTCAGGTTGGCGTGCTGGAGCTGAACGCAAAGCACCAGCACTTAGTGATGCTAAGCCATTGCAAGCTGCAGGGACTTTTTCTACTCATATTGGACAGACTGATTTATTTGTCGCTGATGAGGAGCTGAAGTCGACTCAACTAGCATGCTTCTCTGGCTCTGAGGAAATTGAGAACATTGTAATTAACAAATCGCAACCGATTTCTATGGGGATGGAGATATCAGGTAAATCAGAATCACCAGCCTCTTCAGATGGTTTCCAAAAGCCTTTCAACAACGCTGCATTTAGCATCCTTGCTCAGGCGGCAGAGGCCGCCTGCGATCTCGGTACTCTTGCATCAGCTGCCCTTGAAGTTGCTGATGTTGACAATGCGGACTCGGATAATCTCAGTAGGCGCAAATGGCTCCAATCTGAATCTCGTTTCTGGTCACCTGATGAGTCGGCTTGCGCAAAGCCCCAAGCGGCCGAACTGGATAAGATAAATGTAAGCTGCACGGTTAAGGCGAACATGAGGGATACAAGCGCTATAAGAGAAGAGCACCGTTCTAGCGAAGTAGGAAGCGATAATGAGGAGAATGAAGATTGTATCGAGGAGGAAGAAGATGATGTTCAAGCTAGCTTTGAGGAAGAGCTCACACTTGATGCCATGAGCTCTTCACCGACATCTCTTTTGGGCTCTCATCAGCACCCCGGCCTGGTGGGGAGACAACGCCAGTCCACTGGATCTGAAGACTCTCCAATTCTAAGACAACCTTCTAGGGTTACGTCACCTTCCTTGCTCAATTCTCAAGTTTCCCTGGAACACAGCCATCATCCACAGCACAATCCGCAACAGCAGGCTTTGCACAAACAACGTCGACGTCGTTCGCAGTTGGCTGGCGCCGATGAGTTGGCTCCTAATTCACTTGGCGAGTCTCGTGAGGATCGATGGCTGCGAATGCAGTTGCGAAGAATTGCTCAAATGGAGCAACAAGAGCTTCAGGCACTGCAACATCAGACTCAACCTTCGATGATTGAATTGGACTCAGAAATCGGGGAAAGCCGGCAAACTCGCTCACCGTCTTTGGGAGGCCAGCCGGTAACTTCCTGTGCCTGTGGCGACGAACAGCCTTTGTCACCTCGAATCTCCCTCAAAGCTAGCACGGTTGGACCCGGGAGACGTAGACGGAGTGGCGCTTCCCTGGCAGGGCCTATTAGGTCCCCAGTTGCAGCGACCGATTTGGGTGAACCTTCATTTTCAGTTGTTTCACCAGCGTCAGTGGGTTCTTTTATTGATTACTCATCGGGCCAGGCCGACCCAACTATTTGCACTAGTAATCTCTTCCCAACCGATCTCGAAACAGGCGGTTCGAATGAACATTTACGAGGCCAGGTTGTTGGTAGCCCCCCCGTTACCGATATGCCTGCCGAAGAGACTGAATGTGGTTTGATAGTGTATCGAGCCAGAGAGAAGGATCCGATGGCGCGATTCAGTCGGGCGCGCTCCGCAGCGATCACAGAAGTGGTCACCAAGGCGGCAATTTCGGCCACTGATGCAACTATACTAGCCACTGCCCCAACAACCATGGCTACACATCCTGAGCACCGTCATATAACTGCTCAGTCCTATCATTTTGAACTTCCAGATACCATCAAGGAGGGAAAGCTTTTTCAAAAAGATCAGTTAGAAAACAATTCACAACTTCCTATTTCAATGACCGGTCTTAATAAGCCCGAGCTTATGTTAACTCAACTATCTACCTCCTCACTCATTAGGTTTACTGGGGCCACAATGAGACCAACAAAGAAACGTTGGCT